ATAAGTTTCCCACGCTTTGGGGAGTTCCATGGGCTATCCCCTTGGGATTAGGGGCATTTCCGATCACTTTTCGAAAAAGGGTTAACATTTTGACCAAAAATCCGGTATCAAAAAGGCGAGGAACGCCTGGTGAATATCGTGATTTTTACACCAGCTCAAAATGTTTAATTTTGAGCTTAATCCGTTGGTGTAATAGTCATGAAAATCAGCAGGCGTTCCTCGCTCTCATTTGCATGACGGCTTCTGGTTTTTCGTGTTTTTCCAAAGTTTTCCAAGTAAAACCCCTCATTCATAAGTTTCCCACGCTTTGGGGAGTTCCATGGGCTATACCCTTGGGATTGGATGCATTTCCACGTGTAAAATCGGTCATCTATTTCATTTTCTTATGCTTTGATCTGTTGGGGATTTCCATGGATTATGGCTCATATTTTTTAATGAGATGATATTCCTCCAGCCCATTTTGATCGTTTTTCCTTTTGTTTGAAACTTAAAGAGTTTTGATTAATATTGATGAAAAATAGGCGCTTTATTTAGTTTGAAATTTTAACTACTACTTTCTAAAATATTATTTATTTTTGTTACAATTGTTTTAATGTGAGGTTTCTTTTCTTAACGAGTTAAGCTATGTATACATATTAATGATAAAAAGGTAAATTTTACACTGTGAAAAGATGACTGACGTTTCGGACGCTAGTCCTTCTTTTACTCCGACGAAGTAAGTTTTTTTATATCTTTTCACGGTGCAAAATTTACGTTTTCATCATTACTGTTTCATTAGAAACACCGACGTAGCTCAAACTAGTTTTTAGCTAGTTATCTCTTCTATGTATATATATTAGATAACAAGGTGAATCATCATTATGAAGGAAAAAAAAGAATTATAAATTTACAATCTGACCAATATCTAAAAAAAAAAAATCGCAAGATGTCGCAGGAAACCACAAGATACCGTATGAGATCTAAAGTTGGCACTGCATGCTATCGCAGTGTTTCACTCAATATSAGAAGGTATTGAACCGTTTTGGATTGTATCGTTTCCAAAAGTCCTAGCCTTACCTTACGCCAACATGATGTTCTTTGAAAGGTTAAAGAACTTCTATTTTTCTTCTGTATTTGTTCGAGCGCTTTGGTATGCGTTTTCCTTCGCCCGAACTTCCGCCGAGGGCATGCCGAGGGCAGGTCGAGGGCATCAAGTAACTAGGTGCATTTACTACGATAACACATAACTTGAAAATGCAAATAAGCAATACGAATTTTTGTACGAATTCTGAAGAAAAAAACACTGGTGTTTAAGGCTTGCGCAAACATAAATGTAACACAAGAACATTTAAATCTGCACGACACGGTACCAGTGCATGATAAACTTTAAAAGCAGATTTTAAAATGTCGCGCGACTGAGATGTCACGCATTCAACAATTTTAACGTTGATCACGCAAAGGCATGCGTTTATCAAGAACCTTGATAAATGTCTGTGCTGCGATGTGAAGCGACTGCAAGGTAAACCTTCTCGCCCATGTTGAAGAATTCCATGTCACGCGTTCTTGTGGATGGGATATCTTGCACCTTAGCGAACTTCTTCGAGTGATATTTATCCCAGGCGTAGATGACAGGATTGATGTTACTGCTGATGATAGCCAGGTATGTCTTCTCTTTTCCCATGAATGGTGACGTAATGCACACCCAGTCACGTGCCTGTAACGATACCCAAGAATGTAACATCACTGGATTGCGTTATATTGATTCGTTTTGTCACGTAATATTAAGAAATCATTACATGTCTCTTCTTCCCCCTTTCATACTTTCCATCCTTCCTTCCTTCCATTCTTCCTTCCTTCCTTTCTTTCTTTCTTTCTTTCTTTCTTTCTTTCTTTCTCTCTCACTTTCATTTTTTTGGCCTAAGAAATAATTACAAGTTGGATGGATATTCGAACGACAAACTTTTCTAGAGTGAAAACAACAAACTCACCCTTTGTGAAGGAACTCTTTGGAATAAGTTGAATGCAGTACCATTCCACTTGTGGATAAGTGAGGATTTTGCTTGCCATCGAGCCACAGCAAGGAACGTAAAGCCATCCACTCGCAGAGCTTTCAATCCGTATGCACGCTCTTCTGTAAACAACTGCTGATATTTCTCAAACTTTGCCCCATTCCACTTGAAGATGGTTGCAAACGGACCGCGTGCGCCTGGCCCTAAAATATAATCATAGGTTAAAACGTGGCATGCGCATACCACATAAGATCAACTACCTACCATAAAAGACCACACCGCAACACCCAAAGCTACGACCACCTTCCGAGAACGATCTCAGTCTTTGATGAGGTCGGGGATGGAGAAGGGGCTCGCCCGCTTTTGGACCTCTAACGTAGTTCCTATCAACCAGCCTTCGAACCCCACGTGTACCCAGTCCCTTCACAATTCCCTTGGAACCCGTCACATGACTCTGCCTGTCGTCCGCCCTTAGCCCTACCCTTGGACACCGCACGAAGAACCGACCCTTGAATCATGTACCCCTGAATTTGGATGGTTTTATGTAGAACCTCCCATTTATGTACGTACCTGTGATGGCAAGGAAGACATCATCCCCGATCGAAAATGACTCCATATCAGCACCAGCAGCCAAGATTTTCTGGAACAAGACGAACCTTTGTCCATTCCACTTGAAAATATTGGAATAAGGACCATAATAGATAGCCACACCCAGGAACACATCATCCTTGATTCTGATTGRCTCGACGTCAAACGCCTTGGAGGAGGTGACTGTTTGGAATGGAATGAACTGGTTGTCGACCCATTTGAAGACAGGTGATTGGTGGTAGCGTGAGTTGCTTGCTGCAGCAAAGAACGTGTCTTTGCCGATGGTTAAGTACGTCCACTTGCGCGCGTTGGCTACTTTGAGGACTTGATACTCTTGGAATCTGTGAAGGAAAATTAAAATAACTAAACTATGAGGAAACTTAACCTGGGCGCACTGTGATTGGCCATGCTGTAGTGGGTGCCTAGCTTACCTGTACTATTATAGGCGAAGTTGAATAAGATATAAAATATAATAACCTTTCTGGAAAAAAAAACTTGAATAAACTAACCTCTTTACCTAGGGCGTATGTGAACCCATTTTAAAATAAAATAAAATATAAAATGAAATAACCTTTCTGGGAAAAAACTTGAATAAATAAACTGACCTCTTTACCTAGGGCGTATGTGAACCCATTTTAAAATAAAATAAAATCTAAAATGAAATAACCTTTCTGGGAAAAAACTTGAATAAATAAACTGACCTCTTTACCTAGGGCGAATGTGAACCCATTTTATAAGACAGGGCAGACACTTGAGTATTATTTCTTTCTCTACTAATAACCCTCAATAAATTATATCCACTTCCATAATTACGCGACCAAACACGAACCTGAATTTTTTTTTTTTTTTGGTTACCTTAATTTAAATTTCAAAGGTCTGAACTAGTAAGAGCTTGTTGGCGTTATTATAAACACGGGGTAATATGATTGTAACTCAACCTTAAGATCTTATTCCGAAGATGTTTAAAATCTATAGAACCTAAATTCTTTTAGATATCAGACAAAAACGGTAAAGAAAGGCTAATGGAATGGGAAGCCGTTTCGTCATCAAGGAACATTAGGCTCAAGTTAGAGATCCGCAATCAAAAATTCTGACAAAAAACTAAGAATGATAAAGGATTCTGGATAAATTAATATAAATATATTAAATAGTGGATATTACATGGGCGCGAGAGATCTTTTCAACACTCGAAGATAAATTTCGTATCTCCAAGCGCCCAYGTAATAYTCTGTTTATTRTATAATTATCCACAAAATCAACTTAATAAGCTTTTTATTATTATAACTAACTAACTAATAGCTTAAATACACATGGTAACGATATTTTCACATGTGAAAATATCAGTTTTTCGAATAGGAGAAATATAGGTATTTTATGGATAATTATACGATAAAGGTATTTTATGGATAATTATACGATAAAGGTATTTTATGGATAATTATATTATAATAAATCTTATTAATATTTTTTCTTACCTGTTGTTAATAGTCCACCATTTGTAAATAACAAAGCTCTTGCTTCCCAACTGTGAAATTCCAAGAAACAACTGATCCCCGATGGAGAATGTCCCTAGATCCCAAGCATCAGTGTAAAGAGTCTGGATCATGTACTTCTTCATAAACTGGGTCATGTTGACAAATCCTGTGAGAGAAAACCACGAGAAAAATACTTATTAGATTCACAGGCGACTGAACCACGTAAGTGAGTAAGTTTGTTGGACGTGTTGTTCTCTCCCCTGCCACAAGGGTTTAGTTTTCCAGGTTCTCTGGCTTTCCTCCCTCCATAAAAATCAGCATGTGAGTTGAGACAGTTTATTGGACGTGTTGTTCTCTCCCCTGCCACATGGGTTTAGTTTTCCAGGTTCTCTGGCTTTCCTCCCTCCATAAAAATCAGCATATGAGTTGAGACAGTTTGTTGGATGTGTTGTTCTCTCCCTTATCACGAGGTTTTTCTCCGGTTTCTTCGATTTTCTAGCCTGTGTGCCTCCGAAAGTTTACTCGTAAAGTCCGGACTTTACGACAGAAAATTCCGGATGCAGCGCAGGCTACGATTTTCCTGCCTTCATAAAACTTAACATGTGAGTTGAGTGTTGCGTGTTGTAAATAATGATTGTAGTGGTAGTGCGTGGAGGGCGAATCTTAAGAAAGAACCCCTTAGGGAAAATGATGCTTGTAAAATAAAATTGTAAAGAGAGTTATTATTTTCGACCACAGAGCCCAGTCTTTCTGACAGTGGAAGCGAAACCAGCTGGGACTGAGAACGAGAGAGTTGCGCATGGCGCCAGTAATATTTAAAGCTGAAGTTCACCAAGAAACTTCTTTTAACGGTTTTAAGTCCCTTCGGCGACACAAATTTTCAAGACTTGAAAAGCGCAGTCAATTAAGAAAATAAAAACTTATGTCTCTCAGAAATTAAGGCGCGCGTCATGATTGGACATTGTGCGCGAGGTTGATATTCAACTGCTAGGGTGGGTACAGCATTCTCAGGGTCACGACACGGGACGGTGCTTGGATGAAAGTTTAGTAGGCTGCTGAAGAGCTGAAGGGAAGGCGGCAAGGAAACTATGAGTTGGTCAAAGACTTGGGCATGATCTTGTTTGTCATAGTCAAACCTTTAATGAACTGTAGCATTTAACTTAACACTCACCCATGGTTGGTGTTTGAGTGGTTGTTGGAGCTGAAAGAGTCAAAGAGTACGATCTTTAGATGGTAACTAGAAATGATACATATAACTCTTCAGGTATATACATGGGACTCTTTTCCTGTTGGCCATGCCCTCAATTAGATTTAATTACAGTATCAAGTCGTAAAGTGAATAAATAAATAAATAATAAAATAAAGAAAGGGTCGATTGCTTACCCAGTGTTGTAGCCGGGGCACCAACTGGGTTCCCTGTGGAAGAACATTAACGAGACATACATAAATCCTTGGGTGTAACTCTTGACGCAATGCCGCTTGCTGTGACAACTAGTATTGTCACTTAGAGACAAATACGGGTGTAAGGAGAGCTTGAGATTTAAGGTTTCAATTTAAAACCAATTCTACACCCAGGATTCCCCCTCTCGCGTTTTCATAAACTCAAATGAAGCGCAGGGATGGGAGGCTGGAGCGTTTTTTTTAACTTCTTGTTAATAGTCACGTGCAAATACATCTAAGCCTCTCCCATTGTTTGACTCTACAGTCCTTCACTCACCGGGACACTTGACAACAGAACTACAAACAGCTGCGTCTGAAATAAGAACAAGAACAAGTCTTAGTCAGTACTTAGTCTACAAATAATTCACACAAATTGAGTTGTGTACTCATATTGTGACTCGTATAGCAATATATGTAGAGCAAACTCACCAAATTTCACACAAATCAGCCTGTTTCCATCAGACGTCAGGTACTGTCCTACTTCACATCGCGGTAGACGAACAAGAATACCAGAGTCGCCCTGAAATAAAATACGTGGAATATCAAAAAATCTGGTTTGGTTGGAATATGTAATAGTCCCCTTGACAGTTCTCTGCGCCTTCTTGAAAGGTAGCCGTGCCTGTGTATCGAAGTGAGGACCGCGGCGACCTTGCAATGATTGAGACCTTTTTAACACCTTGGATTTTCATGTCTCTATCATTGCAAGGTCACCACCGTCCTTGCTTCGATACACAGGCACAGTTATCTTTCAAGGTGGGGCAGAATGACTATAACATTTTAAAAACCTGTATTACATAGCTCATTTATATCTATAGGTAGACTACTTGCCTTAGGTCCGGGGGGTCCGGGGAGTCCTCGCTGACCAGGAAGTCCTGATAAACCCTAAAAGGAACGAATGACTTTTAAAAAATGCTAAGTCATCGTTTACGACATTGAGCTGATGGTGAGATGGATTCAACGCGCACGTCCAATAACTGCTGACAATTTTGATCGCTTTGAAACTGTTCCTCATCAGTGGGCCAGTGCGCTTGTGAGATGCTAGAGCTGCAGACAACATTGATAGTTGTAAAACTGTGCCTCATCAGTGGTCCAGTGCGCTTGTGAGATGCTAGAGTTGCTGACAACATTGAT